TATTATTTTTATTTCAACTGCAGCCTGATGGTCAGCCCAGAGAGGAAAGGGACCCCCTGCTCCTGCCTGCACTCCAAGAGCCAGGATTTCCATCTCCGAGCAGGCTTTGAGAAAAGAAAGCCAGAGAAGCAAAGACATGGAGCCTGCAAGCTGAGCCCCAGCTCACAGTACTCGCTGTTTGGGTGAAGGACACTCTCCAAGTAGCACAAAAGCAGCAAAAAAAATCTATTTACCCTTTCTGCTCTTCTCTGCAAGAGGGAAGGAGCATCGCTCGCCCGGCTTCAGGCAGCTGCAGCGGTGAATGCAAACCCGAAGGGAAGCACTGGGAGAAGGGTGTGTGAAAGTGGCCTCGTATCCTGTGGCCAGGAGCCCTCCCCTACACACCATACGGGCCAAACCTGCCTTGAAAAGCTTTAGGTCTCCCCCCAGGCTGATGGCAAAGACGCCTTGATGACAACGAAGGGAACAATTCTGGCTGAGTTTCCATCCCCTCCCCTATGACCTCCCTATAGGGAACTGGGAGGCGGCAGGGAAGCTGAAGATGAAAGACTAGCAGCACCTCACCATAAAGACAGGGGAGGTATTCAAAAGAATACGACACATCCAAATGCTGCTTAAAAGTCATCTGAAAATACATCTTAACCAGCAGCCTGGAAGTATGGAGACCAGCTTTCAGCACCCAGACCAAAATATCACAATGGGAAGATGTGAATGTTTTTCCTCTCTCACCACCCAGCCCTACTTTTGATACCAGATCAAATATGCCCTTTCAAATTCCTTACTGCAAAGGCGAAGCAGCGCTGGCTGAAAAAAGCAGCAGTCAGGCAAAACTAAAAGCACCTCCGCAAGGAGAAGCCCTTCGAGGAATTTACTTTCTCCTGCTGATCCTCCCCACCAGCAGCCCACGCCGTTCCCCAGCACTGAAAGCCCTTTTCAACACTAGATAAGAAGGGGCCCCACCAGCGAAGCTGGCAAAACATCCACAAGGCAAAACATCAAGGTATTTCACAGCCCCAGGGAAAGATGGGAAAACAGCAATTTGAACGTCATTAAGAGCGTTCTGATAACTTAAACCACAAGGAATGAGCTAAATCCACTATTGATTGTCTGACCTCTCTGGGCAGCTCCTTTGGAGCTCCAAGGACCGATCGCACAGCAGCTGCCTGGGCTCCCACAAGCTCATCAAACCTCTTCTCTGCTCTCCAGGCTGGGTCCCCACACAGCGCCCAGCCAGTCCCGAGAGCCTGTTCTCTTTTTTGGGACACTGAAACAAGCTCTGATGTGCCAGTGCCAAAAGCTGCCCCTCTGGCACAGTGGGGTGTTTCCCACTGGGGAACTTTGGGCAAGAAGTAGTTTCTCAAGAGCTCGTAAGCCCAAGGACTGAGTCCCCAGAAGAATTAGGAGGGTCCTCTCCAGCAGCACCCTTTCTGATTTGCCCCTTCCAGTAGAAAAGAAAGTCACACAAACACTAAGAGCCAGCGGAAGGAAAAAAAACCCCACAAAACCACACCACCACTGCCACACACAAACCCAAGCCATACCATGCTATATATACTGTTCTCCTGGGAAAGAAGAAAAACAAACATACAAGACCAGTGCTGATACTGTGGCTTGAAGTATTCCTGCTAGCGACGGGGTCGGAAGAATCCTCTCTGCACTTGCTCGAATCTCCAAGAGACAGCGCGGTCTCTCTCGCAGCCCACGTGCCTAGTGTCCACCCCTGGGCTAGGCCACTTCTGAGACCCAGAGCTGGCTGCTAGACGATGCTAAGCATGGGCACCTTTGATGGAGACAGACCTGTGCTCAGAAAATCACTGCTGCAGTGTCCATCCCTCATTATTAAAAAGGTCTTTTTCCACACTGAAATGCTACCTCTAAAATCCTATCATGTAGCAATCTCACCAGCTGCTCCGCCTATAACAACGGCGCGCTTCACCTGTTCGTTCCAGTCATCTGCTTTTCCCAAAGATACTCTCAGCTCAACTATCAACTTTGGGGACTTCAGATGGAGTTCCTGCAGCCACCGCATCAATGAAGCGTACATGTCCTGCTGACCTTCAGCCAGACCTACCTGCAAGTCATTAATCACTCCCGCAATCCCCATCCATTACCAAGTTCCGCAACGGGAACAGCGAGAATGAGATGTGCAAATAGTTTCGCCGGCAGGTTTCTCCACCTTAAAGCCAGAAGGTTTTTTTAAGCCATACAGAGGCTTTTAGGAAAAAAAAAAAAAAAAAGCAGAGAGACACAAATGTGTGTTTTATAGTCAGCCTTTAATTTTCTGTATATAATTACTGCAATAAAGTGCACCTAATTTCACATGAAATGAGATAACGTGGCTCTTAACACAGCCAACATAGTATCAACAGATAAACCTCAGTGCAAAACGCTTATCTGAAAACCACCAAAGCAGTCAAGACATTTGCTGTGCAAACAGCCTTTTCCAACGCGTGTAACTTCCGGCTGGGGGCCAGTAAATGACTCGGCAAAAGGCAGCGGCAGCAGGTTTGCCGTTCCGTTTCCAGGAGTCCTGAAGCAGTGCCCGGCTCAGCAGCCCCTTGTAAAGACTCCGCAGCGACGCTTTGGGATCATCTCTGTAGGGATACTGGTGAGCTCCAATTCAACCCACGTCTAGACTTAAGCAACTGGGGAATTACTACTCAGCTACGAAACAGATGGAAGAGGAGTCCAGACAAAGCGGGAGGGGGAGAGAGAGGGAAAATGCCAGAATGCATACACAGGCATTAAGCATGAAAACACAGGACTGGCTGAGCGAAGAACTACTTCGAGACCTTCTCCATTTATAGGAAGCTAATGAGCTGTGAACCCAAGAACTACAACGTGTGCCGCACGACCAAAACGGGACCCGCAGCCCTTTTTCTGTGAAACGGAGCTGAGGCATGCCCATTTTGTGTAGGGGCATTTAATTAGAAAAGCATGTCTGGTTTTATTTTTTTCACTGTTCTATTAAATAAAAGTAAGTATCAAAGTGGTTATTTCATCTGGAAAAAAAAGCCAGCAGTTTCAACGCGCTTTGAACTGCAGTACAAAAGCTGTTCATCTGAACCTTTCCCCTTTCCTTCTCCAAAATATACAGGACAGCAACTTCAACTTTACATGGTAAGAAAATATATACACATTACATACAGTAAACATATCCTGCAATTTTTTTAAACTTTATATAACATTAGTGAGAAAAAATATAAACATTAATAAAATTACATACAATATATTCAACATAGTAAGCAACTGCTACCAGAGGGAAGGCTGATAGGCTATCAAAGACAGGGAGAGGAAAGGACGGCCTTGCCATACCTATACAACACCACATAGTTTTTTTTTTTAGCCTAAAGGAGTTCTATTGCCAAACAAAGATACCCTTTGAGGTAGATTCTTCCAATTCTTAAATAACATGTTGAGATTAAAAACAGAAAGGGATTTTGTCCGTGTCCCGTCCCGTCCCCCCTGCCCCCCCGAACAATGCCACAAGCATAACTTTTGTTTGAACAAAGATAAGCTGATTATCCTGTGAAGGGCACAGAGATGCTGCAGTCTCAGGCTCACTCTCTAACACTTGAAATGAAAGACAAAACATGTAATATGAATTTGCAAATAAAATACCTTCCCTATAAGACGTGTCCATTCTATAGCAGTTCCTTTATATGTAATATACATACTGAAATTTGAAGGTTTTGGGTTTGGGTGTTTTTTGGTTGTTGGGGGTTTTTTTGAGCCTTATTTTACATTCTCATCTTGGAGAGTTATAGGGACTTTATCATACAAGACAAGACAGGGTAATCTACAAAAATTAAAAGGAAACAGTATTATAAAATGCACATGTTGATATTATTAAAAATCTCACTTGTTAAGGGAGTCCCAGTTGGTGCCTCTACCCAGTACCTTAACCTTCTCTTCATATATACACGCATCCTGCAGACAAACTACAGTGTAAGATTTAAATGATGGCATTTGCACAGGGAGCACAAAAGGAGATCACATCTTCCTTCGATTATTTCACAAACAGCTCTTGGAGCTTTGCACACACATTGTGTGTGCGGCAAGACCTCACGCAAAGGAACTCAGACCTCACACGGCTTTCACAGTTTTCAGGCAGGTGGGCCAAACACTCATCTCCTCAAATCTCCACTGAGCTGATATTTTAGGATTAGTATTTTCTCCATTTAGAGAAAGTGCTGAAGCCAGATAACAAATATAGATATGCTTGTTTCTTAAAGAGCAGTATAACAATACTACTGGTGTAATAAGATCTCATTTGTAACTTGGTCTTGTAAGAAACACTTCCTGTGCATTCACTGCATAAATAAATTAATGCCTGAAGATAAGGAAGCGAAGTTAAAATGAAGGCATCACTGTAGTAACAAATACCATTTTGCTATTTGATAAAACACAACCACAGAGCAAAGAAGCATCCACTTAGCCTGTTTGGGCACAACCACTCTTAAGCTCTGTTTCCACCCTCAAGTGAGCACGAGAGCAGTCACTTGCTCACATGCAACTGCTGTATTTTGTTGTTTGTTGGGGGTTTTTTTTTTGGTTTTTTTTTTAGAGGCATTGGATGGTCATACCAATTCTGCTTTGCAGATTAACATGTGCAGACAATTCTGCTATTCAGCTCTGAACCACTTCCTCACCTGCTCACAACAGGAGAGGTCTAACACTGTTTCTGAACTCACGTTCCATGTCACAGGGCAGTCCTTTCCCAGCCATCCTAAAACAATGCTTGCAGGTGTGTGCTGGCAAGAAAACTAATACATACGGTTTTCAAATATGTCTTGTGATTAACAATGGAAACAAGAAAACTTCCCTTTCAATATGATAAAATATTTCTAGCCAATTCAGACAGGGCTATAGAAATAGCTAGGGTTTTTTCAGTTTACCCACTTCAATTTTTCAGAAGTAGTGTATTTGTAGTAAAAGCAGTGTTAATCAAATTAGATCCTTGTGTTTATAGTATTTGCCTGAATCAAGCTCAAGTTCTAACTCAGGTGACTGATTTCTTCTTTTTCAACCAAGGTGAAGCTCCATTCATTCTACATCTTCCTTAGTTTCAGATTTTTTCTGGTATTTTCCCTGAACTAGGCAAGATTTCATGAATCTGGCTCCCAGAAGTCATGCAGTTTTCCCTAAAGAGTAAAAACAAAATAGCAACAAGTCAGAAAAACAATGATAGAAGTGAAGAGTAGAGTAGGCAAGTGCTTAGCCTGAAACCACCACAATGTGCTGCAAGTCCCTAGAATTTTATTCGGAAACACTTGCCAGTTTCCCCGTATGTGAATCAACTCCAAATATCTCTGAAAAAACAACTCTGAAAGAGCTACATCATTATCAACTTTCATCAATTGCTAGGTAGCTTTTGCAGCTGTGTATTACTGTCTCATTCCCTTCCCCCTCTATAACAAAAAACGTCACACACACTACAAATTATGTCTTTTTAGCACATTGCTGGGAGCGATTAATAGTCTTTACACACGAATGGTTGATGACACAATTTTTAACTGAAATCAATACTAAGCATATATGTATAATTTAAATTTTCTGTAAGTGATACACTACATTACTGGAAAGCTAAGCTTTTCCAAGACGGGTAGCTTTCTGTTCCAAGACAGGACTCAAAACTGTTGGCCTGATCACGTTACAAATAAAACATTTCTTCCAGCTCTAGACTGGAAGAAACAGCTCTGAACTCAGATACCAGTAGACGTTATCCACCTATTCCACCAAGGCCAGCTAGATATCATGAAGGCAAATATTAACAAAAGACTAATCATGACATTATTTACAACTGCATACTTTTACAGAGCATGAAAGGCTTTTCCTAATCATTGCCTGAAATTCAACACATTCAAAGGGGGAGGAGTTACAAAGAGCCGTTAAACACATGTGGATAGAGCCCTGGACTCAAGTAGCCTCCAAGTCACACGCTGCCAGACAACAGCGGGAAGCGCATCACTGCATTCCCACCCCAACATCCTTTTCGAAGCATCTGCTAATAACTATAATCAGAGACAGGCCCTGTGACTTGACTCAGTACTAGCATGTCAGTGTATTACGCAAGCCATTTACGAAAGCAGCACTTTTAAGGATAAAGATGAAACCTTGGTTTTATTGAAGCCAGCAAAGTAAGAATTTTTTAACTAAAATCTATTCTAATACATCTAAGTGTATTCCACAGCCATGTTGTTTCTGAAGAAAAAAAACCCCTCTTTACAACAACACGCTATTCTCAAATGCTAAAAAAAATTAGTTAAATGCACCCTGCAATATGAAAAGAGAGAAGAAGGTTTCATTACAGTACCTGAGTAGGCCGAGTGGTTTGTATCATATCTTGCCATTTGCCATATATCCTAGCAACTAAGTCTTTTACCTGCAAATTTGCAAATTCAGGTTGACTAGTTTAGCCGTTTCTGTTAAAAAAGCCAAAACCATACCCCCTGTCCCGTCCCCCCCCAAATCCATAAAACCCCGAATAACCCAAACACCCAAGGGTTTACTGGGAGGGAACAGTTTTACAGCTGGCACAAAGTATCATCACCTCAACTTCAACCAGATCCCTGTAATCTGGGTCTCTGAATTCAAACTCATGTACTCCACACAAACACATTACAGGCACGTGATTCCCCATGTTAAGTGTTTGGAATCAGCACGCAAGCCTCTGGCCTCCAAACACCCACCTCTCATCCTTCAGGTGAGTTAGGTTTGTTACACAAGTCGGATTGTACCTAGAGAAGGAGCCTGCAACTGCAATCACAAAAGCCAACTAGGCAGCACTGTCTGCTTCCAAAATTAATTCCTCATACATAAAACTGTGCTTTTCATAACCATTCAGAAGCAGGTGTTTAATCCAAGCCATTCAGAACTGAGATTTGCTTCATATGCTGTGTTAAAACCCAGCACAGTGGCATCCTCTGGAAGTTACTGTACTATTACACAAATGAAGTGACGGGGAAAAACAGAGTAAGATTTTCCCCTCGCAGTGCAAGGGCAATAGAAACAAAAGTGAAAGCGACCCGAGATACAAAAATCCAAGGCAAGAGTCACTAATTTGTTACAAGGATCCATGCTCTACTAATCTGGCTGAATAAAAAAAGAAAAATCTTCTTGAGAGGTAAGGATGCACACAAATGCAAATGTTTGATTTAAAGCTGAAGAAGCCAAGGCTTTTCAAAGTTGAGGTCAGTCATCTGATTTGGCTTGGTACAACAGCATGCAAAGCATGAAAGTCACAAAATTAGGACTATCATTAGTAAGCCCCACACCACAAAGCAAATGAAAGGCAATTATCCAAGCTTGATGCTACATCACATACACTGTTGGCTTAAATCCACAACATTTTTAACTAACCTAATTAATCTGAAAATAAAACAGACACATATGCAAGATAGGCTAGTTTTTCAGTCGCTCCCCTGTATCCTGCCCCTCCATGTAGCCTCTGCTCTTACGAGTAGAGTCGACTGTCAGTGACTGCCAGGAAAAGAAACAGAGCGACCCTGTGGGTCTGAAAGTTGAGATGCCTGGCTAAAAGGAAGACAAGCTCACACATTACAGTTGTTCAGAGTCCTGTTGTTAGCAAAAAGAGTATTTTCAGTGCATTAAAATAGGCATATATTTATATACGTGCAAACCAGAGAAAACCCAAACCCATGAGGAACTCTTAGAATTTCCAGGGCTGGGATGAGGAGGGAACAATACACATGAAGAACACTAAGAAACACCCCAAAACAAACAAAACCCCACCAACTTATGTGTCTTACCTTAGTTCGATAAAACAGCCTTGCATCTTCCCTAATATCACATTTTATGTGCTTATCTAAGGCACCACAAAGCTTCAGTAGGTGTTGCTAAATAAAGACAAAAGTGTACAGCTATTTAAATCCTCCACATCAAAACTAAAAGCTTTCTTCAAATATTATTTAAAATTTATATGCTTCAGTTTGAATTTTTCTCAGAAATATACAGTAAGAAAGGGGGAAAAGAAAGAAAACAGGATCACAAGATCCCCTAACAGTTGCTGGTATGCACCTGGTAAACCAGGTCTAAGAGCTTTAAAAAATAGTTTCGAAGTATAGCAGAGCTACACATCACAAGTTTTAAGAGTTCTTACTAGCTAATTTCTAAGTCCCTTCTGTCCCCAAAGTAGCAAGCGTAGTGCTATTCAGATCTTTTATCAGCGAAAAAAAGTTCAAGTTACAATAGATAAAAACCATCTTTTCAGTAATAATGGCTCAGGTAATTTTCTTTTGCCAGTCTTCAGGAATTGGCTGAGCAGGTAAAACATATCCAGGGTTTCTGCATGGATCTTTTATTTCTCTCTAAATTTCTGATTACTTTAATAAAGCAGTTTTGCAACTTCATAATCTCTTAATAATGGCTCCCAAGATCTTTCACATTCTGTGATTTTCTTCATAAAATTCCTGTTTTCAATCCCTCACTGAACAGCTGCAGAGGCTCCACTCCGCAGAACAGGTGAGACACGCTGAAATTCTACTTATAAACATTTGCTGGTGTTGCAAGAGCATGACAATTTACCCCATCTAACTGGAAAAGTACCAGAAATGAAATAGTTATATTGATTTTATACAAAGTCTAGCCTGCACAATATTCATCTACTACCCAGTTCAGCCACACCCCTCTTGCCACTTGATGGCTACCAAGTCAGTGAATAATAGACTCTTTCTTCATCAAGAAATACAGACACTTAAAAAAAAAAAAAATAAAAATCAAGTTCTCCACAAATCTTCAGGAAGGCAGTTGTAAAAAACAAGTCTCAAGTGATCATCACAATATAATTTTTTTCTTTACCAAAGATGATTTTGTTTCAGATCACACTGTGATCATCTTTTTGCATTGAGTAGGAAACTGAGACACTTAAGCCACGAAATGTAACCAAACATTACTGCTTTGTCTCTCTCAAACAATTCATACAACAGATTTCTTAACAGCCAAGAGTGATTCCACGGGGCAGAAGGTGTACACAAACACCTTGCAGCAAGCAACTCACAGAAAGTGATCACAGAAATCTGAATAAGATTACTGAAAGGCTAAGCAGAAGGTATTACTTAACAGATGTTCACATCACACGGCGCAAGGGAACTATCACTACAGAGAACAGAAGAGATACAGTCCTAGCTCTTGCTTGCTGCATGGCTGCACTCCGGCACAGAAAACTGATGTGTTTGAACATATTTTACTGGATATTTTCAAAGTGGTTTTCTTCTAGACTGAAAAATTTCAACCCTACTTCAAAAGTTCATAGGACTGCTGGACTTCTAAGAATTTCTGTGTTAATCTCCAAGTTACTTTCTGAGAAAGATAACAAACTAAATGTCTGCTGATCCACAGCCTTATGTTTTGAGGTAATCCCATTTGCAGAAACGCAGAAGAGGTTTATTTCCCTGCAGTAAGTGCAGAGAAAGCTCTTCTGCATTTGCTTTGCCCAGAACAAAAAGTTTCCCCCGGTGCTATTATCCACTGGTGATCTTCTATCACATGATAGTTCTTACCAAAACAGACCAAAAGTACATGATAAATAGTCTTTTAAAATCTAAAGATCTAGCCACTTAAGTTACTTACCCTTTGATTAGAATTTACAGCATCAAAGAAACTAGCTTCACTGACTAAATGAAGGAGGATGTAGATTAGGTAGTATGCCTGGAGAAAAATCAACAGAGCTTTAGCAGTCAAAGCACAATCGTAACTCTTCACATCTAGATATAGCACTATCTTTGCTTTTTGGAATGATTCCTTCAGCCGCCAGATCAATGGACAAGTATGCCTACCCATCTGCCTAAAGAACTAATTTGAAACAGTACATTAATATATTAGAAACATTTTAAAACAGTATTACACTGTTTTAAGTTACCCAAGTAATCTACAAAACTTTCTGTAGTTTTAATTATGGAAAATTAAATTCAGCAGTTGGCTTTATTTTCCCATCATTTACATCCAGATCAAAATACCTGCTAAGAGATTCCATTATATATTGGTTATTTACCAAACCAATATTCAATTTTTGGATGGATGGAAATACTAAATCTTTCTAATACTTGTTTATGAGAAAAGATAAGAGATTCATAAATCTCTTTCTGAAGCCTGCAGGTGAAGGTCTGGCTCAGCATCAAACCGTTTCCACTGATTACATCAGAACAAGGGGAGGATGGTCCTCTGACTACAGACGACAGGACTCAAGACATCCATGTGACTTAGCCATGCAGAAAATCTGATGATTTCCCTGTTTGTAAAACAGCCTAATACAGCTTCCTCCGTCACATGCTACTTCTTTCCTTCCTCCATGACTATAATCAACATTGAACATGAGTAATATTTCAATTATACAGGTGAACAGCAACAAAATAGTGTACGTACAGTTCCATGTACAGAGCCGTCCTGAGTTAACAGAAATTAAAAGAAAGATTCTCAAAATTGTAGAAGATGCATAAAAAGACAAATGCAAAAATGCACTGTCAGCTATATACCTCCTGTTCTAGTTCTGTATGAAGGTGGTCTCCATCGGCATCCTGCTGCTCCAGCCCTTCTCTCATCTTCTTTAGTAGATTAGAAGGTTTCATGTACACCAGAAACTGATGCAGAAGAGACATCTACAGATACAAACATTAACAAATTGGGCTGGTTTACTAGCAATGGAAAATTGGAAACCGAGTGCCACTACGATATTATTTGTCCACAAAGACAAGAACATAAAAGGGATTTTTAATTAAAATGGAAGTTTTTGTGCTCTGGATAATTTTTGACTATTCACAAACTAAAGTCTTTGTACGTTGCGCCTCAATGAAAGATCAACCCTACAAAAACAAAGAGTGACTCTACATGAACACAAAAGGAAGACTGAAAGAAGTGTAGACCTCTTTCCGATGTCCAAATGAATGTTTAGGCACATAAACAATACTGCACTTAGAAGCTGCAGAACATGCAGGTTACACACATGTGCAAATATACTTCGAAAACTAATCTAAACTAAAAATTACTAATTGGTCATTTTGCAAGGTTCTTGAAAATAGCCTTACAGTGTTAAAACATAAGACACAAACAATAATATACACGTTTTCTAAATGTTCAAATTATACACACACCCCCACACACACACATATGCAGTACCTGCTTGTCACTGTCATCAGGTATTTCTATATGCTTTTTATTAAGAAGCTTTGAAATTATCACTAGGCTAAGACGTCTTCTTACTTCCCTGAAAAACAATTAAAAAAAAATCTCTCTCAGAGAATTTCTTAAATCCACACTGTTTCTACAAAGTATATGAGGCTATGCATGGCTTCCCTAGACATAAACTTGCCTACAACTATTAAATTGGATTTTCTGAATATAGGTGCTATTAAACTAGTAGAGAGGCTAGTAAAATGTAAGTACCCTTATCTCATTGCAGCTTTTCTTCTGCACAAGTAAAGACTGATAGATACTCGCCTCCATGCCTGAAATTGAGGACCCAATCCGTTCTCCTCGCTCAGATACATTATAATTTATTAACTTCAAACATACAGAACTCATAACAGATTGACACTTAAAAGCAGGTATAAATCACCCAAAGAAAACTTAATTTTTGGTCATTCAGACAAGAATTAGAATAGGTGATGGATGTCAGAATCTGAAGTTAAGTCTTTCTTTACTATAGGGTACCAGGAAGTCCGCAGCCCAGAAAACTACATGTAAAATGTAAAATAACCCTTTTTCACAACAGAGGTGATCAAGAAGCTATATATACACAACAAGAATCGCATATACATCTCTAACATATGAGAAAACCCAAATACTTTTTTTTGTTTGTAAAGCACCATGTAATACCTATTGCATTTATCAGACTTTGAGCTTATACAAATATATCAGCTGTTAATGATACAAGTAAATTAGCTGTTAATGATACTACATATTTCTGATGTTACAGTGTCATTACCGTCCACGTATTATCCAGCTAGGCACCAGCTGAACTAGCCACAGGAGATTATGGTGATGACTGGAGAGTTCACTCACTGCCAGGCAGAGCTCAGGCATCTTTAAAAGAACAACAACAAAAATCCCGATACTGAAGAACGGATATGGTGGGCATTTGTTTTATTTGCAAAGGAGTACACACCTACTTCCTAGAAACATACACAGCACAAACGTTAAAAGGAATTGATCTAGTAAGAGATGATGTGCATAAAGATAATTCTGTATTGCACCTGTAGTTAAGTCTGCTAAATACTATTTTACAGTAGGGTAGTTGAGATCAGATTGCTTATCAGCTTAGTGCAACCATTTCTTCATTCTTTCAGAGAGCCATTTTAAACATACAGCTATTTTAGTAAATATAAGATTAAGTTCAATACAACAGTCCCCTTGCAGCAGAGGACAGGCAAGCATAATGTCATGTGACAAAAACCCCTGGTATATACCCACCCACCTCCAAAATCTCACACAAATCCCAAGCTCCCAATTTGTTCATATTACATTTTCAAGCAGTATTTTTCCGAAATGTCAAGGAAAAAAAAATCAAAAACTTCAAAACAGAAGTTTCTTGAAAACTAAGTTGCAGTTTCATAAATATAGTACAAGAAAACTAGTTATGAAGCTACCTTTGTATCCCAGTCTTTTATACTTATCAGAAGCTGTATGAAAAGGCACTGAAAATCTATCAAAGGAATTTGCTTTAACTGTTTCTCCAAGCTTATTTTAAATAGCAATAGAAGCAGCAGCAATATTTCTTGATCAGTATATCCACCTTGAACTGCCGTTGTACAGAAACCTAGAAACTTTAAAAGAAATAAAAAGCATTAAAATCTGAAATTGGTTTAGTTTTTTTTAAAGTATGAGAACTTAAGTTTTCCACCCTCACATTAAAATGCACCTCAAATGATATATTGTTCTTGCAACGCTTGTGTACTAACATCTCCCCATCTCTCAGTAACTGCACTTTTTTTTTTTTTTTTTAATATACCTGCTGGAGGCTCATCTTCTGAACAATGGCAATATTCCCTGGACATTACAAGAGTAGGAAACTTCTCCACTGCACAGATAATCCTCATCTAACTGAATGAAAGACTGACAGACTTTCTAAATACACAAGTAATACCGAAAGCATAAATCAAGAGATTCTTCCCCACCCAAGTATTATCACATGGGTTACATACAACATGGGATATGTCTGTAAATGAGAACACAAATTAATCAAGGGATGTGTATTTTGCCTCTAGTGGAGACGCTCCGAGTGCTTCCTCTTGAACTAAGTGATTTTATAGTTAAAAATCTCTAAAGAAATGATGTCAGGAGGATTCAAATTCTTCCACAAGGAACTCTGAAATCAGTTATAAAGTCAGTATTTTCACCGTACCACCTTTAATCACAGAGAACTAGCCTGTGAAGTGTGACCAGCACTCATTTGGCTTATGGTCTCACAGGACAGAGCGCACGGCTCTAACAGCTCACTTCCACAGGAGAGTCACAGTCACAGCTCCACCTGCCCTCCGTGAGCTCCCACCTCGTTCACCTTGTGCTGCACAGGGACTGACCGCGCACCTCTGGAGAGCTGCACTAACACACTGAGGCAGCACAAAACGTACAACCCAACATCAAATCCCCTTCTCATTTCCACTGGAACACAGAAATGGATAGTTTCTTCTACACAAGGGAGCAAAGACATTTGATAAAGTGCCACAGCTGCAAAAGGGAGGCGGCAGAACTGTGCAGTTGTGAGTGAAGCCAATGGAAGTCAGGGAGAAAGGAAACTCTCAAGTTTGCAACGAGCCTGCAATAATTTCTGCTGAGTGTGAAGCTGAAACCCCAGCATAGCATCTACTCACAAAACATGCCCCAGACTAGATTAAGACACCGAGGTTTTTGCTAAAAACCAAAACAAAGCAACAAAAAACTCCCACCCCCCAAAAAAACCCCAACCACCCACAAAAACCCCTCCTACACTAACTAGAGTTTTCTCACCTTAATCACATTAATTAAATTGTTTTCTGGTACACTGGAGAAGGCTGGACTGGCAGAGGTTAGGTCTCCTCTTGGCTGTTGTTTACTCACTGTTTCTTGCATCTGACTTCTAATAAAAGAGACACTAATTTGAGCAATAAATCAACAATTTAAAAGCCCACAAAGGCTTACTGGCATCAAACTGAAGGGGAAAAAAAAAACCCTGCATGTTTCAAAATGCCTTCAAATCAAAACAATCCTCAGTTATAGATCACACACATCTATCTTAATTTGTAACCCGATTACTTACAATTCTGCCCAGCTATTTAGGCAACAATTCTTGTAAACGTCCATTAGGAAGGTGCAGGACAAAGGACAGTGTTCTGGTTTGCTGAATCCTTACCTGGCAGGCACTGTTTAAAGTCCTGGCTTACTTATTCTCATTAAGACCTGAACTGAGAATTTAAAGAAGAGTATGGCTTGATGGAAGGGAGGGCAAATAAAGGAGAACCTTCTGATTCTACATTCTAAGCACAAGACTTGCTTTCACAGGATCTAAGTGATAAATATCAAAAGGAAAACACTTACAAAATATCACACTCGTTAAAGTTGGGCTGAAGATGCTGCAATGGAAAGAGAGATCTAAACGCAACACCCATATTGACAAAAACAGCTGACACATCAGCTAGTGAAGGAATCCATGGTTTAGACTGTTCATCACTGATGGAAGCTACAAGTAAAAGACATGGAATGGATTAGTTTTAAATTTAGTTCTTAGCATTAGTTCCTTTTAAGGGAAACAAATAAGCTCAGTCGTCTGCATCAATTCTACCAGCTCTCATCTCAGAAGAGTTGGTGCACTGAATGATATGCTTACTTTCAGAACCATGACAGGAAAAAAAAGGTAGTCTAACACAGTACTTTACACTAGAGAAACATCTTGCCTATGTAACAGGTGAATTACTTTAAAGTTCCACCCATTTTCCCTCACAGCTCTCTTTCATCACAAACGGCAGAATAAGCAAGGAGGCAATATTTACTTTTAAGAGAATACATAAATTCTGTTCTGTGTAGGTATAGGTAAGAGGGTGTTACCATAGTGGGACTGGAAGTGGAGCTAAGATTTTAAAACAGGCAAGGCTTCTAGAACAGAAGTGCTAAACAGATGGAATTCACTTGATAGAAATAAGAAACAAAGCTTATTGCAAAAAGGGCTGATTTGTATGATTACTTGTATCTGAAAGTCTGTAAAGTCTAGAGAGGATTATCCATAGGACACTAAACTAGCACGGTAACATCAAATTAGATGCAGTGTTTTCCAAACAACGACAGAAGTCACTAGAATTCTGAATTGGGTCAATTTTGTGTCTTAGAGCTAGGTTTGTAAGAAAAAACCCAAATATAATGGAACAACACTCAAGACGCTGCAGGTTCAGATCTCAATGTTCAATTCAGAAAAAAAACCCAACAACAAAAAGATGGATCCTTAGTTAAGCACTAGAACAGAATGTCTCAAAATGCTTTAAAGACTTCACAGTTGGCAATTTTAAAGTGGTTAGACAACTTTCCAGGAGCAACTGTAGCCTATTTGATCCGGCTCTGAGGTCAGAGATCTGCTGGGATCTCTCCCAGCCTTAATTCTTTGAATGCTCATTGATCAGCTTAAACTGCTCATTCAGAATCAAGCTTAATGCCAGCAAAGCACAAAATAAAGGAGGCTACATTCCTTCTCCTATCAGCTCACAGTCCTATTTCAAACAAGATTCAAAATACGTGGTACAATTTGGACAGACCTGAGCAAGTACTTCAAGAGAACTGCATTACTTTAACGATGTTAACTGGCAGGCTTAAATGAATTAGTGACTTTTGATGGATCTGAATAAAGTGAAGACATGGAGAACATACAAAGGAACTTGTACTGGAGAAGTATTTGATAGTACAGATGAAGGAAGGCAAAACACACAAGACACGAGCAGCGGTGTGGGTTGAAACAGATCCTGGAAAGTGTTTCTGTGCAGGTGTGTGATTCTTTTCACTTTTGCCATTTACCTGGAAAGTGAACTATGTAGTGCTACATACTGGGTATGACTACGTGAAAACCACCTTGTAATCCTTAAGCTATGAAATTAATGTCTGCATCTTCTAAAGCAAAGATGGAAAGGAGAGTAAACTTTTGAGCAGACTGGGGTCCTCTTCAGGTCAATTCTATTTGTGAAGTAACAGAAGTGAGTTTAAAAGGCTCTATACCAGACGCACTGCTTTGCAAATACATGCCAGGACCACATGCTGTGGTACAGCTTGCACACACTCAGTGAAGACGAACTCCTAGCATTTGTGCATTACGTAACTAACAGAAGAACCTAAATTCAAGCCAGAATCACAGAACAGAGCCAGTGCCTTTTAATTCCTCCCCAACACCTTTCTATACTTAACAGAAGGGAAATGCCTTCATTCAGATGGTCCGTTTTCCATCCTTCAAATACTCACCATTTTTTAGTGTTATCTCCATCAATCTCTCTAAAATCTGGGTGGAAACACAATAGTCAGGATGAACAGACATCATCTGTGGAGAGAAAAGAAGCTACATGTCAAACACCAAGTTGCATGATGGCATCAGTTTTTTTTTAATTAAAAAAAAAAAACACAAAACAAACTCTTTGGTAAAATAAAGTGAGAAACAGTAACAGGAAAAAAAAGCAACAAAGCCTCTAAAGCGAGATACACCAAGGAGAACAGAATATTGTGAATATGGATTATTTCAAGCAGTGCACAGATGCTACAAATACTTTAAATATTAATTATTTGCAATATCAGAATGCTGTAATCTCACGTTGAATCTGTTGGTTCATAAGAAAGTACTGAGGGTTAAAAGAATGGAAACCACGTATCCCTTTGGAGCCTATTTGCATCTGTGATCAAATTGAACTCCTTGATCAGGAGCAGGAACAACAGAGTTAACTACAACCTTTTCCAGTCATGGGCAAGTTGAACATATGCAATACTAAACCAAAACAATGAATTCTTAGTTTTTCACGGAACTCTTAACTACAAAAACATGACTATGAAGTACAGTTCAGGTTTCCTGGAGCACTTCACTAGCCCAGTAAAAAACTCTTCTTTTTCTCCCCCAAGTGCTGGACAGTTTCCTGCTCTGTAAAGTGAGCTGAATTGGCTCGCACTTCCTCCTTATTAGAGGAACACCAGGGCTCACAGAAGGGGTGGAAGGCAATTTTTTACTGGCTGGAGGGAAGGACATGGAGGAGCAAAACGTTTCCCTTCCAGCAAAAGCAGAAAGCCAGTCAACAGACCCAGGCTGCAATTTCACGGGCGGTCCAGCTTTCTTTTTTGTTTCAGGCACAGTTAGAATGTGGTAAATAATAATAGAATGGAGATTGGAGAGGGGCATTTTTGTGAGTAACAGAACAATGTAAATTCCTGGGGATTTAGACACAGACACAGATGTCTAGAAAGCAGACAGCCACCACACTTCCTTTGAGAATGGCTCCAGACTTTTTCCTGAGCCATAGTGCATGTCAACCTTTTCCAAATGAAAAGTAATCTGATAATACGGGTATCTCTGATGATTTACAAGGTTATATATGTAGAAATGGTACTTTTGCATACCGCAGCATGCTTGGGTGGGGGGGTTTGTTGTTTTTTTAAGGGTGGAAGGAAGCAAGATTAACATTTGCTTGTGATTTGGCCCACATTATTATATGCTGAAATCTCTTCTCACCTAGCACGTACTGTGCCCTTTTCAAATGCAGTAACACGAATGAAGGTTGGACAGGGACGTCCAGCTTTGCAATCACTCTGAAAGTGAGTGAAAAAAGTTATCCCTAGTGTTTTACCCTTAGTGACCATCAAAGTATTTCAGACTGGAGAACAAAACAGAACCCAGAAAGATTTTTTGATTTAAAAGTTGTTAACCTAATGCAACAGATTCACAAACTTGTTCTGATTATTCCTGCTACAACTGGCTTCCAGGAAGAATATTACACCTGAACAAAGTATAACTGCATGAATAGTATAGTCTTACCTGGAAAAGCCACTTTATAATTTGTATGGGACACAAGATACAACTGTAAGCAGAACTTAGAAAACCATTAATAGCTAAAGAAAGCTGCTGTGTTACACCAGAACTGTAAGACAAAGATGGGGGTGGGGAAAGAGGAGAAAAATCAATTAGTGGTTGAATCAGCACTTTCACAAAAGCATAAGAACTTCCCCACCCCTCAGATCATCATCAACAGCAAACAAAGATCTGAACATCCGAAACAGATGTTATTCTTGTGCTCTTACCTATATGAAACACTATAGTAATTAAACCTTGTTTGTTATTTAGAACAACTATCTTTTTCTCCAGAATGCCATACTATAAAATCTGGAAACATTTGTATTATTAGAAAATAATAGCTTCGAACAAACATTGATTTACACTATTGTACTATGAACCATTATGCCTGTTTACACAGAAGGGCTGCTATGCTCAATGAGACCAGTGAATAAGATTTTTTACTGTCCAGTGACCTTTACCAACACTTCTAAAAGAAAAGAGAAGAAACTTTGTTTGTAATTTTTAAAGTAGTCTTTTAAATAAAGAGTCTGAAGGCAAACTGAAGCAATTAAAATCAAACAGTCTAATGTCACTCTGCATATTTGCGAGGTGCAAAAAGCAGCTGTTGGAAGAACAGGAAATATGTCATTTTTATTACTGAATTATTTTAGCTTTAGTCTTCTTTAGAAAGTCAGGTATGTCATAAGCAGCTGAATTAACGATATTGTTTCCCACATACCCTTCTTTAGTCTCTTCTATTCTCAGTATCTACTAAAACAGGTAGCTCTGTTCAGAGAGGTCTCTGGCCTAACTTCTCCATATACCCTCTACCTGTCTGACTGAACAAGTGGCTAGGAAAGGGGCCATGTGCCAACTGGACAGCCAGTAGGTGCCAGCTGTGCCAAATGGGCAGAAAGCATAAGCAATTAAATCATAATTGCCTTCTGCAAGGGATGATTTGTTTAATCCTCATTCCTCCAGTCACTGATTGATTTACAAGATACTTTTGAAGCTTATATCCTTGTGATCTTCAAAACATATTAATAAAGAGGCCTGAAGCCAAAGGAGTGTATCACAAACATCACTTCCTCAAGAGATGAGGAGAAGCCACCCTCCTCCTCTTCACACCCACAACAGCACATACACGTGTATGCAAAATCCTTTAAGATTAAATGAATTCTCTCAGTTTCACTGATGCAAGTTTGGAATAAAATGCCAACTGAAATAACCAGAATTTTTCAGGATTTGCACTTGTGGTATTAGGCAAGAATTTGTCCAGCTATTTGAAGCCGGACAGCCTCATAATATAGAATACAAATCCCTATGAGTTACAGAACAGTCGTGTATACGCAGAGACACGCTGCTAGCTCAGTGACTGAATCTAACAGATGTCAGAAATCGTGACTTTCTGCAATCCTCATTAAGTGGAATCCTAAGTCCCAGGCCCATTCAGGACGAACACACGTAGAAGTCTTTCAGCAGACATAATGCAACAATAGTAGGTCACAGATCAGTTCACCACAAAGGTCCTCTTTCTGTCTTGGGATAGTTAAGCTTTTGTTCATTATAGCATTTCACTTCTGCATTTATCTTCCACAAACTGGTCAGATTATCAATGATAACCCCACACAGTAGAAATATGGAAAAGGCCAGAACACCTATTTTTTTCCTTATGTCTCATTTAAGATGTTTTTTCAAGAATTCCAGAGGAGGAAAGAAGGAAGCTTCAAGATTAACTCTTGTGTAAACCTAACCTGGAAAGGAAGCCAGTCTTGCCTACTTAGTAAGGCAGAGCTCATTTGCACGCAAAGATACTATTTTATCTTAAAAACTAACACTGAAGAAAATTGCACAAGTAAACACAACAGAGCAAAGAGGATATTCTTACCTAAGAAGGAGCTTTTCTATAGGATTTTGAGGGATGAAATGAAAATTCCTCAAGTCAAGGTTATGTTGATTGAAGATTTTCCCAGAGGTTGATAAATCAAATATGTCTTCTCCAGGGTGGTAGTCAGGTATGGCATGAGCTATTACTGAAAATCTCTTTATAAACGCCCTGTAAAATTCAAAATTGCTTTTATGAATTTAAACATCGAGAGGCTATTTGCTGGTTGAGACAGTTATTTTCAGATGAACACATCAGCCTTATGTGAAAGCTGAATTGCTAAAATACAGTAATGTTCAAGAAAATCCACCTAACCCCGAAAGACGATAAAAATGGTTCACATTAAACATTAACAACAACTGATGGAAAGAGAGAGAGAGATTAGGAAAAAAGGCTAGAAAAGTGAAGAACTAGATTTAATTGGTTTTGGAGTTGGAAGGACCTGTGCTCTTCTGAGAGATCTTCATCTCCACTGGCGTTCTCCTCATCTTCGCCATCTGAAGAATCAGTTTCCCGTCCTTGTATGTCTTCCTGTAACTGCTTTTCTAGTTCATCTACCCTGAAATAACAGTAGCAGCAGAACATATCATCACCATTTAGTATTTACAACAGAAGACAACAAAATATAAGCTCTGAATGTGAACCCAGGAGTCAGTAGCCAATTACGCATGGCAAAAGCATGTGACACTGCATCTGTGCAAAACACAAGCATCTTGCTATTCCAAGATAAAAAGTTTCCCAAAGCCTAATGAATTTCCAACAACACATTCAATCACGAGTTTGTCAGAGACAAATACACTCAACCAACTTCTGACAGTTTCTTGTAATTGCACAAAACTTTCAATCTGCTGGATGATTTTTTTTTTTTAATCTTTTTTTTTCTTAAGTGTCATACTAGTGTTTTATTTGTTAAATAGTATTAGTTATAGGAGTATTCACTGCTCCACAGTCAGTCACAGCCCACAGTTACTAGGGTCAGATTCTTTAATAAAAAGTTAATCACACATATATACCCATCACCACCACTTGCCATTAATACATATACCACATTACACTTTCTACCCAAAAGACCTCTTGCAAGAACACTCATTAGTTCTGTTCACTGAACTGCGTAACTACTCAGATACTGACAGTCTACACAACGTTGGAAACCAAAACTGAGCTACAAATGCCTTTGAAGAAACTACTACAGTCAGTCTACATAAATGCTTCTATTTCATGCCTGACCAGCAGCTGCTGGCTGGCTCAGTGACCTACAATAAAGGCAGAGTAAATTCAGTCTGGCTTTTGAGGGGTAGACAGATGTATCACAAATCACTCATTATTGCTTGGAAGGAGCCTGTCATGCAGCTTTTACAGTTAAGCCGCACTTGTAGGTCCCATCAGATGTATGTTGGTGGCATCAGCAGGCAAAGCTTAGCTTGCTGCTACCCAAACTCCATTTGGATAGACAAGGTAAATCTAAGCTTCTACAATTCCATCCCAAATTTTTCAAAGCAGCTTTAAGAAACAAACCTTTTAGATTCTTCTTTCTCCTTCAAGAGATGTTCTAAACTGTTCACATATGACACCTGGCTAACAACAGGAGGCTTAGAAAGCTGTAAATGAAATAGTAAGAAATTAAAAAAATACCACAAGCTATCAATTCATTCAGTATTAGACAATAAACATAATCAAAATAGAAACCTCTTCCAATTTTAATGATATTTTACCTGAAGATAAAAAACTCAAAGGTGACCCTGAAAAAGAGACGATTAACAGTTTAGGTTTCTCAGTCCCTTGACAATTTTATGTAATGGTCAAATCTCTCTCAGCGATTACTTTAGAAATAACTGTGCTTCACAATGGATCTGAACAGCAAAGCAAGTCTCTGCATCTCTCCCTGGGGCTGACCTTCAGCTAACCTTCACAAAGAGCATTAGCATCAGAAGCCTTTTACCTCACAGCTTTATTATTATCATCCACTGAGACCCTGGGAATCCCCATTCTCTTGCATGAGACAAAAAACTCCAAAAATGATTCAGTAGCTCTTTGTTACTTTCAGGAGTCCCTAGAGGGCAAAGCACCAGTGTTTGCTACATCACCTCCAAAATCATCAGGCAAAACAAAGCTTCCAATCAAAATCCTAATACAAACCCAAATTAAGAAGCTAATAAATAGAATTAAAAAACAACACACAAAAAGTCTTAACTGCTAGTAAAATTAGTCTGGTTTTCAGTAGCCAGTGTTTTATTCAGCTAGTAGCACAGATTTGAAATCTTTTATGGCCATGATTCAGTTCTTTGGACAAGCAGTGCCCTTCTGACACCACCTTCTTAAATTGCAAGCTTCTTACTAGTGACAAAGCTTCTTCCTATGAGCTCCTTCATTTTTGGAGAACACAATTCAATAAAAGCGTACCCTCTCATTAGAGATTTTCTATTACCCAAAGGTAACAGAAGTTAGTTTAAGAAGTTAATGTCCACCTGCTAATAAAAAAGTCAGTTAATACAGCATTCATTTTTGGTATTCACAGACATCTTTCAAATGTAACAAGCAGCATGTCTTTGTGTGGGAAATCCTGTGGGAAAGCTGAAGACCTCTTACCTTATTTTATATCCTGTTAATATGCCTAAAACAACTTCTGAACTGAGGAATTAAGACTTGATTCCAATTTGCACATATGCCCCTTCTTACAAGACAAGAGAAGAATGCTAGTATATGCAAAAACCATGGTCATGGAAATTTTGGGACAGTTCTTAACTGTTTTGTCTTACTTGGCCATTAATTATGCAGAAACAGGATAGGCCAAATGTTGTGGTGACATTCACGTTCCACAAACATTTGATCTGCTGCATCTGTTTATAAGTCTTAACCATTAATTATGTAGACATGTTGGTTAAGATTGTGGAATACGTGTGTAACCACAAAAGCCTGATCTATAACATGCTTGTATAGTTAATGGATAAGGAGAGAGAAAATAATTATGGCTGTTCAATATCTGCCTACAGAGATACTCTTTAAGAGAAACTCAGTTAACAAATAAACCATTTCAGAGATTTAAAAACAGGAGAAGACAAGTACAAGAGTATATATACAGGTATTCTGCTAACAGCAGGTTTGTTTTCTACTGTAGAAAATAGCAGTGGGCTGACCCCAGCCGGCAGCTGAGCACCACACAGCTTGCTCATTTCCCCGCCCAGTGGTGCAAGGGAGTGAATAAGAAGTGCAAAAGCAAGAAAACTCATGGGTCGAGATAAAGACAGTTTAATATGTGAAGGAAGCAGGGGTGAGGGGAAGACGAAAAAGTGATGTGAAGGCAATCACTCAGCACCTTCCACAAGCAGAAGGATGCCCAGCTAGACTCTGAGGAATGGCTACATGCCAGACCAGCTCCCCCTGCTTGGTTTTTATTGCTGAGCACAACACTATGTGGCATATCCCTTTGGTCATCTGGGGTCAGCTGTCCAGGCCACACTAAGTCCTACTGCAGGATCTTCCTAATTAAACCATTATTTTTACAATAAAACTGCAAAATCACAACTTATTTGACAAGCTGTTATTGAACAAATAGGCTAACTTTTAAAAACACAGATCAATTCACCATAATATCCTGTGAACTGGGATTCAAACACTTCTTCATTCATCCCTTGTGAGGAGAAGTCATTCAGCTTTTTGAAATCCTTCCTAAAATACCTCCAATTTCCATGAAATTCAGCCTCAAAGAAAACATCACACTTACAGATCAAGAACTCGTACACAGATTCCTGACAATCACAGACTGTGACAAGGATATATGACTGGAGTCTAGCACACAGATCTCTCAACAGATAGATCAATTTCCTCTAGCTAACTTCAACTCATAAAAATCTTACCTGATCAGGAAAATGAAAACATTAAATCCCGTACATCTTCTAAATGTAACCTCCTGCCTCTTTCTTTAGGGGGAAAAAGCAAAAACTGGACTCCTAAAAACCACCGAAAGACATACAGCTAATACAATTCATCTGCACAAACCATCTTTCAGCCATTCCAAGGGCAAGCATAGCGACAAGCACCCTTTCTCTGACTACGCTGCACCTAAGCATAGGACCCTTAAGTAAGCCGAGTAATCAGTTTTGCAGGCAAATAACTCTGAGTTTTCATGTGTTATGAATAAAGGAAGAAAACATACCAAAAAATACAATATAACAAAGGTGCTTTTTTTCGTTTATTAGCCACTTACATGAAGCTTCAGTAATGGAGTCATTGTGTCCTGAGAAAAACTGTCAAGACAAGATTCTTCCAGGGTTCCTGCCTGTGGCTTGGGACTTGAAGACAGAATTTCTTGCAGTGGCATAAATACTTCTTCTTCATCATCATCATCTAGACTGCACTCCAAACTCTCGTCTTCACTGTCAAAGCTGCTTTTTGCTTTTCTGTTCAACTTGGACTTGTCTGTACAGGTGCTTTCTACTTTTAACTCACCTGAGAGTTGTGAAGACATATGGCTGCTGTCCATGCCCCCTTCTTTAAAAGACAATGAACGCGGAACACTTTTACCAGTCTCTTCTGAGAGCGCAGGTTTCCCAGAACCTTCCACTGAACAAGAACCAGAAGCATTTTCTGAAGTCTTGTCTTTTGTTTTTGAAAAACTGTCGCTGGATTGAATATCGTAAGCTTTATTGTGTGCATGTCTTTCTGGCCTTTTCCCATCTTGTTCCTTCTTGGCATTCGATACCTGAGATAAGCCAGCATTCTGGAGATGAGATTCCACACCTTTTGTTTGTGTTAAGCGGTGAAAAGAAGGCAACACAGTACTTTTTTCCTGAGAAAAAGGAAGGGACTTTTCCAAGAAAAAGCCTGAGTTAACCACCTGCAATTGATTCTCTTTGGTACCCACAACAGAAATGTGGTTATTTTTACCAGGACTGTGTGCAGAACATGAAGATGACAAACCTACAGAGGAGCAATTATTTTTCTCATTTTCATCACTTGAGTTGAGATATTCCTCTGGAAGAGTAGAATCATGTCTAGGTAGAGCAGCAGCCTCCATTAGTTGCAGAACATCACCACAAGTAGACTTTAAAAGGATATTTTTTACAAAGTCAGACCTCCTATTTTTGCATTTTGCAGATGACCTACTAAAAGTAGGGTCATTCAAACTTGATAATTCAGATTGATTTAAACTGTCTGCATCCACACTCACGGCAGTGTGTTTTCTTTTCCCAGGAAAGTCTATTTGTTTGGATCGCCCAGAAGACATCTTAAATCCAAGGCAGCATGAAGGAACAGACTGGCTCTTCTGCATACCAACAGCCATCTCAGATGATGTTCCCAGTGCATTTGGAGAAGATGCCTCATGTTTTGAAACCTGCGTTGGCTTTGGTTGAGATGGGTCATCTATGAAGTGTTTAAGAAAAAAAGTAAGCCACTGTTGTCATGTTTAACAAAAAAAAAAACCAACAAAAAAACCTATAACAGCTTACCCTTTAAAAAAATAACTTCTGTTTTTAAGTCAACCATGACTGAAATTTTTATCAGAAACTACAATCCTGCTTGCACACAGTGGACCACAATTAAGATTTAGCTGATACTGTACCATTATGTTATTATTGTAACTAACTTGGAAATGAAATAAAATCCTTTTATTTTAAAGCAGCTCAGTAGCCACCGTAGAACACTTTTTCTATGCACTAGAATCAATCAGTGTTTGGAAACAGACAATAGCCCAGTTGAGGTATGGGACTGGAATAAAGTTTCCATAATTACATATAATGGTTATAAATAATGAGCATTACTAGAAGTATTTTGGAAACACTGCAGTAATTTTAACAGTGCTCATGAAAAAGCATTCAGAATATGAAGAAATCTGTTTTCCGGTTATGGCTCTATGGCACCGGAGCTCACCTTCCTCACCATGCTGTTCTGCTTCCTGCCTTAAGCTGGCACCAGCACCTGGACACTTCATGGCAAGCTACTTCATGGAGCTGATGTGGCTGAGAACTTCCCAACTCAATTTTCAGCCAGATCAGCTCCTCGCACCACTGGCCAAGTCCCAGTGCTAGCATAGGCGGAAAATGAAGCATAGCAGCAGAGAGTCTGACAGCGATGGACCCACAACATGGGAATACCCTCCTTGTTTTGCCACCACCCCCCCCCTTTTTTTTTTTAAATCATCCTACTGATGTAGCTCAAGCTTCTATTCATGTAAGCTTTTTATATTCGGTTCTATCTACTGTAGAACAAAATTATGTGATTAAAAGGGGCAAAAAGCAACAAGAAAACCAGCTAAACTTTAGTGTTCAGTTCAACAAGAATGTTCTTTTTGGATTAAGCTGAAAGGCAAATTTGTTAACCACCACAGTGAATGTGGATTTTCCAAAATGCAAGAGAAACCATAAAAATAATCAGGGATTAAAGCCTTAAGACAAAGAAATATCATGACTTCTAATTAAGTTACAAACAACCTGTTTTTCACTAAAATCCCAAATTACTTTTAAATCTCTTCAAGCTTGCCATATATTAGAAATAACCTTGGCTATACAGCAGTAGGTTGGTTTTTTTTTTTGAGAGAGAAAACAGAAAAACATAACTTCAAGGAAAAAAGCTATTAAAAAGAGACACTAAGTGATTAACATGATTGTTTAATTCCATATTATCAGCACTGCTTCTACCTGAGGCAGTCTCCCTTGAACCAGAATGTGGTATTTTTCTTAAAGGACATTCATTTCCCTAAAAATAAAGACAGAGAAAATAATAAAGTTAATTGAATACTTTTTAAAACCAGGATGTTGACATTTTGAGCCAAGCGTTGAATCCAGCACAGACTTAGTTCCACACACCCCCAGAAATATGGTAATATACTTCAAGACAAACCTAAAACACAGCTGCAAAGATCAACAAAAGGACTCTCCACAACCCGAATTTTATATCTTTTCTTCAGATTGGCCTCCGGTTCTAAATCTCTCCACATTTAGGGCCATTAGCCACTTGCAACCCTGGGCTATACGGCAACATAGCCCAGCAGGCTTTCCTCAAACAAGTCATTAGGAACTTAAACAACAAAATGACAGAAAGCACAGACAAGCAAATACAGAGGGAGGGGTGCTACGGAGAAAAGGAAACACAAGCTAAACAATCTTTTTTGTTCCATTCATAACACATTATGGAGGCACACATAATGATCTTCCTTGCAAATAATGAGCAACCTTTTAAAGGGTTTTCTTGGTTGGTAAAAAAGTGAACATAATTCAACCCGTAATGAAATGCTACATACTTAATAGGACCACCCCCACCTCTGTCTAAATACTGTGGCTTAAGTGCATAAATCAGAAGTTGCAGTTAATAGCAGTTCAAACTAGCAGAAATTTGCCACGCTGTTCGCTACACTAAATTGTAAGAAAACATAAGGTTAAAAGACATTTAGGATAATAAAGACAATTTATCTACAAAATACAATTTAAAGTTACAATTTCCATTGCATTTTCATGCTTGCATCTAACCCAGAGTATCTTCCCTGCTTTAAAACCAGGATTTCTCATTTATTGTAAAATAGTTAAGAATCAGCTTACCCAAGCATGACCTAAAATTTACAAAGGAATAGCAAAAAGAGCATAAACTTTTGTTACATCTGAAAAAGGCAGCACCAAGAATCTCATCCTACATTGAAAAAGGAAAAAAAAAACCAAACGAAAAACCCCACATGTACAGTGGGTCACCGATTTCCACCTTTAACGACCCTTTTAAACACACCTGATGTGATACACTTGTTCCTGAGAATGGCTTTACAGGATATGGCTTAGATTGTTTCATTCTATGTTTCTTCCACTTCCTTCCTCTGCAGAGAGCTTCCAGTGACAACCTAAATTCAGAGTCAGTTGGAGCACAGGGAAATTTCACGGGAAGCCCTGGGTTTTGGTACAGAGACGTGTTGTTCGCAGTGCCATTATTTCTAGCACAGGCTTTTCGAGTATCAGCTTCTGATGATGAAACCCATTTGTCAGAGTCTGAACTAGTGTCTTCTAGATCCATACAGTCGGTTTTCTGTTCCCAACTATTCCCACAAGACAACGGCACTCTTGTTACACCCCGACACTTCTCATTTCTTCCCTGTTCTGACTTGACAGTTTTATCCTTTTCAGCCAAGAAACAGCTGCGAGACCCTGCAGTAATAAGGAGTTTTTGAACCACAACTTTTGGGTACAACGAACCCAGTGCCTTGCACACTCTGCCATTCTCTAAAATGTTTACACTGTCCTTTTTCTCCTTAATTCCTCTCCGAAAGGCATCTACCACAGGACTTGTGTTTGGTGTTTGGTCTGGCATCTTTTTAATTCTGACCTTCTTTGGAGAAGATATTTTCTTTCCAAAACGTTCCGTGTGTAAAACTGACAGTCCGATTCCTGCATCTTTTACATTTCCTCTGTCTGGTGAGCACAACACAGTTCTGTCTTTATGGCCAAGGTCTAAGAAATAAAAGAAAAGACAAATTATTCACAATCACAATATTGGGAAAAAAAAGTCTTATTGGACTGTATTACTTGATATTTTCTCTCTCTCACACACAATCCAAAATGAATTTACTTAATGATTTAGTTTTGCTAGTGCCATGCGATTTATTTCATATAAAAGAACTGCATGATCTATGTCACAGCTTCAGTTGTTATAAAAAAAATCTAGCTTAAGCGTGAGACAGTAACTTGAAATAATAATTACATCACTATTTAAAGAAATTCATTTTAATAGGAAATTAATGTTTTCAGTTACATTATTAGAAAAAATTTAAATGTGCTCATCTTGACATATTTGGTAAGCTATACTCCTTATATTGCTGCTCCAATTTGGAATGAGATTGGACTATACTTCTGCACACTTATATAATTAAAACTCATATAAGTATCTTCCATTTAAAAAACATATATTTACCTTGCTTTAAAACTGGTTTGAAGAACTCTGGAATGGTCTGGTTTCTGAAGAGAAAACATAACTTTATCTTTTTAAAAGAACAATACCCAAATACCCATACAGTGAATACTGATAAAATTAAAATGCTCTAATTTATTGCTACAGATTTTCTTTTAATGCCAGCAGCTCTTATTTCTGATAGCTCTTTCTGATAGATCAGAGAAAGCAGCAGCATCCTCATCGCCTTCTAGCCTTCACTCTGCTTGGCTAATGAAGCCGACCTGTCAGTTTCCTCACTCAAACTGTTTCCTTTATCATCCTAGTAAGTCTTAACCACCCTTCCAGCTTAAACTAAGCTTTCTTAAATGGGTCTGACCTCACCTGTATCCACTATTCCAGATGAGACCTCACCAGTACCTTATGTGATGGTGTTAACAACCTCCCCATCTCCACTGTCGACATTTTGAGCAGGTTAACGCCTACTATATATATTTTTTTTTTTTTTAAAGGTGTTATAGTGGTAAGCAGCTGGCCTTATCAATACCATCAGCCACCAAACCCTCTTCAGTGCATTATTAGTTGCTATCAAGTCTAACCAAAAAGTTCTGTCTGCAAGTTGTAAAGTTCAACTAACCCTGTAACTTTCCTCCTGTTGTCTAAAACCCTTTTTGCACCACTGTTTGTTGCTTTTTTCACACATCTGGTGCCAGGCTGGGATGCAAATTCCTGTCTGCCTTATTACCAGA